GACCAAATTTACTACATTAATTTGGTCATCTGCGGCTCAGGAGGTTAGAGACTACCCATGTAATGTGGTTTAAATATAAAGTGTAACTTTCAGTGAATATTAAACAGTAAGACCTTCAGAGAGGAAGACAAGCCACACAAAAATAAAGACAGACTCAGAGAAGGTGGTTGTGAATGTGTGTAATGTAATGTAATGTAATGTAATGTAATGTGTATTTATATAGTGCATTTATTGTGTATGGCCATACACCCAAAGCGCTTCACAATCATGAGGGGGGTCTCTCCACACTACCACCAGTGTGCAGCATCCACTTGAATGATGCGACGGCAGCCACAGGACAACAGCGCTAGTGCGCTCACCACACACCAGCTATTGGTGGAGTGGAGAGACAGTGATACAGTCAATTCGGTGGATGGGGATGATTGGGAGGCCATGATCGTATGGGCCGATAGAGGGACTTTGGCCAGGACACCGGGGTTACACCCCTGCTCTTTCACGAGAAGTGCCATGGGATTTTTAATGACCACAGAGAGTCAGGACCTCGGTTTAATGTCTCATCCGAAAGACGGCGCCCACTGACAGTGTAGTGTCCCCTTCACTTTTACTGGGGCATTAGGACTCACACAGACCACAGGTTGAGCACCCCCTGCTGGCCTCACTAACACCACTTCCAACAGCAACCTAGTGTTCCCTAGTGGTCTCCCATCCAGGTACTAACCAGGCTCAGCCCTGCTTAGCTTCAGTGAGTAACCGGTCTTGGGCTGCAGGGTGATATGGCTGTGGCATGTGTAGATGTGTGTTTGTTAAAGGATCTGAGAAGCACATTGTTCCTTTGTCACAGCCCAGATCTACTCTCACACATTTAACATCCTTTTCAATTGAAAACCCAAATCAAACACTCCAGATGTTAGTGCTGAAGAAAACATGTCTCATTTACTACTGTTGTTCATTCATTCATTCATTCATTCATTTTCTTTTCAGCCTAGTGTCTTTATTAAGTGGGGCTGCCGCAGTGGAATGAACTGCCAACTAGTCCAGCATATGCTTTACACACCGGATGCCCTTCACTGGGAAACCCCCATACACTCACATTCACACTCAGGCCCCGTTTACACTAATGTGTTTTAGTTTGAAAACGCATAAGTTTTGCTACGGTTACGCCATCCGTCCACACTACGCCGGAGTTCTCGAGCGCCGAAAACGGAGCGTTTCGAAAACGCTGGAGAGGCCGTTTTCATTCTAAAACGCTGCTGCTCCGTCTCAGTGTGGATGGGGAAAGACGGAGACATCTGAAAACGGAGGCGGGGCTGCAGACATTCGCCTCTTTGATTGGGGCTTTTCCTCAATATTAAGTAGCCTACACACAGTTCAGTCCTGAATCTTCTCCGTGTAAGTTCAGACTTCGCAAGTTTGATCAAGGCTGCAGTCTCTTCTTCTCAGTTTGATATGGAAAACATACCGAGGACACGCGTCAATCTTCACAGGGAACAGTGTAACGTAACGTTACTTTATAACTTCATTCACATCACCTTGGCTACGTTGTTTCACTTTCTCAACAATAAAATGTAAACTTGATATAAGGAACTGCCTATTTTTATTTTAATATTAACAACTAAACAGACAGCAGAAATGTTGAGGCGTCGTGCTGCATGAGCGTCATCTTCACTGTGCATATTTATAACAAAACGGAGCCGATAACAACTGCCTCCTTTCAATTTCAGGGAAAATACGAAACATACCCTCTCTTTTGCTGAATATCAGTTTTAATAATCGATAATGGCCATTATAAAAGTATAACATACAATAAGTTTATACATTATAGGAAATAAAGGCAAGCGATCAGTCAATATACAGAATGTAGGCTACGTGCTTACATTAACTTATCTTTGCGCTCAGCCAAAACACGTTACCTGAGAACAAGTAATAGATTCCAATGACCAAAGTCAGGGAATATGTCGTTAGATAAAGACAATAAGATGAATGAAATATCACGTTTAATAAATATAGTGAGATTAGATCCAGCGGGAGATGCTTGATGAGAAGTCCGACTAGCAGAGCTCTCATCTGGGTAGATGGGCTCCAGCGATTGCTAAAGTGTGTGTGTTTGGTCACGTGATGTGCGTTTTCAGCGTTTTGGTGTGGACGGAGAGCAGTTCAGAAACGCTGGGTAAAACGCGAGTGTGGACGCGGATCGTTTTCATTCTAAAACGCCGTTTTAAAACTAAAACGCACTAGTGTAAACGGGGCCTCACACACTATGGACAATTAAGCTTTTGCAATTCACATGTACAGCATGTCTTTGGTCTTGTAGGGGAAACCGGAGCATTTGGAGGAAACCCACACCAACACGTGCAGAACATGCAAACTCCACACAGAAATACCAACCAAAGAAAAAACCTTCTTTCACCTCCACATCCCAGCAGTGTAAGTTCTGCACAACATTTTGATTGTATACTATGATTATGTCACAATTATCAGCTGGGGTGCTCACGCCTGTCACTAGAGGACTACACCACCCACAATCCTTTACACCTCACAGCTGGCATTCCACCTGGAACGGATCAAAAAAAGACACCTGCATATTATTTATTTATCAGTTTTATTTAAACCTTATGATCACTACTGGGGTGGGACAGTTCACAAAATTGTCAGTTCGGTTTATATAATTTCAATCGGTTTATATTATTTCATTTCAATTAAAGCTACAGTTTGTTTAAAGGGCTGGTCCACTATGATACCATATTTTAAACTTTAGTTGATGTGTAATGTAGCTGTGTGAACAAACAACATCTCTAAATGTAAAAAGTTCTAAGTTCAATGCAAAGGGAGACCTTGGTTTTTACAGAGTTAGCTTTGCAAAGCCTACAATGAACGAATTTTGGGGACCACAAAAAAATACTTCCGCCCCCTGTGAGATCACAAGTTTGTTTACTGCGCATCCCACACTGCGCATGCAGGTAAGGGCCGTGGCCAGAAGCACTGTAACGTTATAGCAGAGATGAAGCTAAAAATGCGTCTAAACACGGCTGTTTCCACAGAGCTTCGTCTGTTTTCTGTATTTGGGCTTCCAAAGGACACGACACAAAGACAGAAGTGCCTTCAGTTCAATATTAATTATGTTCCAGAGAATTATAAAACACATAGCAAGCATGATTTGACAAAACAGCTCCAGAATCTCTCCCAGTTCAGTGCTGGATTCGGCTAAAATCTCCTCAAAGCAGAAGTTGTAAGCTACAAGTAAGTGTTTTTATTAGTTAAAATTGATCTTGACATGTACAGTGTCTAGCGTTAACGGTATGCTGTAGCAATGATGTAAACAATGCGAAATGCTGCTTTACGGGCAAACGATTTAGCTACAAATTCATATCTATCAGCCAAACTGCTGTAACACACACGTGTTTCACATCTCAGATAATGAAGTCGCAAAAGATATGTGGATGATTCATATTACTTACACCTGCATATTCTGGATACTCGTGAAAGACGTCATAACGCATAGAGTTATAAAAAAATACAGATTAGCTTACCTGACTCGTGGTCGCAGCAGAATAATAAATCAAGGCTCAACAGGTAGCATCTCACATCTTGTGCTTTATTCTTCTGTCACGATATATAACAGAAAATAACTTAATCCGAGCATCAGAGAAAAAGAAAGTCCCGCGCACATGCGCTTGCTAAAGAGTGTTCACACATTCACACACACATAGACGCACACACAGACACTGTTAAAGGAGCCGCACCCCATTTTCACTCCTTAGTTACAGACACTTGTCAGATTTTATTTTAGAGAGCGGCCGCGAGGTTGACTGCATGTTTACACCATAGACTGTAAAATATATGGACGTAGTGTCCGTGACGTCACCCATAGGTTTCTGAAGAGCGCAAAAGAAGCCACAAGTAGGCGCGGCCAACCGTCGCCATTTTGGTCACGCGTCATCACACCCACGGGGGGATACCAAACAAGGGCAAAGAGGCGGAGAGTGAGCGGAGCTACAGACACCTGCTGGCATTTAGCTTGGACCTGGCTCAGACACACTTTACTTTGGGAGAACGCTTAATACTTTATCACCTGCGACTCGTTTGTATTCTGACCACTTGTGCTTGGTTGTATACTATATCAATAAAGTGTTTAGACTTTTAAAAACACTGCTGTAATACATTGAGCCACTAAACATTGTTCTTATGACGTTTTTCAACAGGAGGAAAACGCGAATTACTTCCAAACACTTCAGATATAGTCTGTGTTAGTTAATGTAAGACTATTGATGAAATCCAGCATAACACTGTATGACAACGCTTCAGATGACTGATCTAGAGCCTACAGCTAATCAATCTGACAGATTCTGGAGTGCATTACAGCTCTAAATATAAATATAAACGATGAATGATCTTAAATAAAACAAACACATGTATAGAGATGGTATATAAGTATATAACTTTACTCACATGGGAAACGGAGGCCACGTGAATGGTTTGTGAGCACAATTAAGTGCCCTCAGCATGCCATGCCATCAAATAATTGTGGGAAACAAGTCCAAAAGGCAGTTGACTGTGTAAAGCCACATAAAACAACAGAGAAATACGATAAATATGCCGAGTTCAGTGGCTAATCTGCAGAGGTGACGTGACGGCGACCAGCGAGACCTAACTGTCACTCAAGTGGCCACTCCCTCAATTATGCAAACTTAATATAACTTAATATAAAGGAAACGGATGAGTTATAAAAAAATTCACCCCCCTCACAGTTGTCATGAAGGGTAATATTAGCTGTATTAACCAAAATCTTTTTTTGTACCAGGCTGTAAACACCTTTTTTTCTGCTGTAAAGTTGGCCATTCTAACAGTGGGCTCAACTGAAATTTGCTCTGTTTTGGAGCCAGGAGCGGCCAGGACTAGCGGAATTTCGGATGAATTGCAGTTTTAGTTACTTCCGTATTGGCTTCCTGAGGGAGAGCGGGAGGTTGCCGCTTGGTTTACACAGCAGAAAAGCGAGTGCTTTTACGGGCGTGATGTGGAGCCGATCCGCCAATAGCAGCACATTATGACGATGACCAATCAGAGTCACTTGAGGGTGGGTCTTTTAGGGGAACTAGGAAACATGACAGTCGTTTTCATGTTAGCTGAGTAGCTGTGTATAATCAAAGTGACATATATGAAAAAATAACACTATTTCCTTCAAGTGAACCATAAGCACACACTTTGCATCTTATAAACACAACCAAGCCTTAAAATTACATTCTGGACCACCCCTTTAAGGTTGTTGTGAGATATAATGTCAGAACGCAGGTTAGTGGAAGTGTCAAAGATGGATTATGTCAGTCTCTGCATGAGTTTTCTTGCATGTGTGTGTTTGTGTGCATGTGTGTGTTTGTTGTTGTTCAGTCTGACATTATGACATTATGAGATATTACAGTGTGACACAAGAGTCACGTTTATGAAGGATTGACAGGATTCTATAGGATTATTAAACATTGCACAGTGTGAGCCGGGTTTAATGTGGATTAAATATTGAAAACATGAAGAAAGAAGATCCAGACCTACAGGTGTAACTTTTACTGACTACTGAACGGTAAGATCCTCAGAGAGGCTGAACCATTAAAGAAAGGAAAGACAGATTCAGTGAAGGTGGTTGTGAATGTGTGTAGATGTGTGTTTGTTACAGGATCAGAGAAAGACACTATTCCTCTGTCACAGTCTAGATCAACTCTCACACGCTCAAGATCCTGATTAACAGTAACGCCAGAGCCTACAGTAGTACCACACTGCACACTCCAGACACCAGTGTTAAAGAAATCACTTCTTTTCCTGTCCTTTGATGCTGTAGTTACTCCAAGACTCCACCAGTAACAATACTTTTTAACCTCCACATCCCAGCAGTGTTTCCCTGAGGTAAAACCCTCTGAAGCCAGAACACACCAATAATAGTTAAATCTTTCTGGATTATCAGGAACAGGTTGATTTTTGTTGTTGAACCTCACACTGGTCAGATCATCAGACAGGACGAGACGTGGATTTGCAGTGTTTGGATCCAGAATGACAGGAGCTGAAGAGACACAATCAACAGCTGCTTTTATTCTGATGTTCATATCATGACCAAGAGTGAACAAACACAGATTATTATGAATTATGACACTCGAACTGTTGATCAAACACATCAGACATGTTCCTCTAATAGCTGCCAGTGTTATTAATTACTAACTAATTTTCATAAGCAGAGTTTAATGACATCAGATACAAACACTATAAGTGTGATTTAAACATCTATGTCCAACAAGATCAATCAATCAATCAATCAATCAATCAATCAATTACTGAATTTGATTAATTTTTGATCAATTAATTGTATCAAGCTCAATTATACTTGGTCTTACTGTCTGAATGTATTTTTAAATCCTTTATTACTGTCTGTTATTTTTTTAATACGGTAATTAATAATCTGTTATTGAATAAACGGAATGTTCCTCTATGTGGCTCTTTTTATAGATGGTTTTTTTTTAAAAACAACTGCTGAAAATCCTCATGAGAAAAAGATCACAGAATAAATGCCAATATATGGTGGCAGGTTTAATACAACTAGGGTTGGGCATCGTTTTGTTTTTACGATACCGGTGCTAAATTGATACTTTTAAACCAGAACCAGTGCCAAAATGGTGCCTGAACCGAACCACAAAATTATTTGACTAAATATATATTTTAATATTAAAATTGAACAATATAAATATATATTTATAATAGGTTTAAAGTAAATATTTTATTATTTTATTAATTTGAATTGCATTAATATATTTCTTTTGATCATTTGTTTGTTAGCATAAATGCATGATTTATATTATGCTATTAACATTACATTAGCTTACTACTAACCTGTGGAAAGGCTGTCATAAAAATCAGGAAACACCTTTTTTCTGGGTTTGGGGCTTGTGACTACTTTTACATGAACATCAGTGATCTAATGATTTGCCTTAATCTGTATAAGAGAATAATATGATTCAGGTGTTTACATGAGCTGCTTTATGAATGTTACATTCATGATCCCCAGTTACTTGTTATAGCACATAGATCCATCAACGTCATTACCAGGGGCGTTGCTAGGGTCGAAAGGTATAAGGGGCTTAGCCCCAAAGAAATTGCCCCAACCCCCACCACCCAAAAAAAATATATAAAAAAAGAAGTTTTAATTTACCCAACTAATATACCTACTCTAATCTTATTAACAGGATTAAAAATGGTTAATAATAAATAAAGGGTTTTTAAGACTTGTAAAATCCAAATAGGAAAAAAAAAACATTCCCACATTAACCCACTTCTCATTTACTAGTCTCTTATGAGCCATATCAAACCTCTTGAGCCTACTATCTCCTCCTGATTTGAACTTTCTGTTTGTTTTTTGAAAATGTAATTTTCTGCATGTCTTCAAATCTGAAAATATGATTTATTTTATATTGTGAATTGTTATCCAATGTGATACAAAGCTACAAACATGTTCATTTGGACAGAGTGATTAACTGAGGTGTAGTGTTGTCAAGATACTGGAATTTCTAAATTCAATACCTTGCAAAATATGGATATTCAATAGGCTACTATTTTTTATTTAATAACAATTCTATCAAAAGTAGTAGGCTACAAAAAATAAAAATAAAGATCTAGATGCTAGAAATATGTTTACTTTTAATTTCTATAGGGAATTTTTTTTTCAGTTTTCCTCAAAATAGGGTGATGTGGGCATTGTAGCATTTTAAATGCATGTAATGCCTGTTTTATTGATACTTGAGCAGAAATTCCATATATGCCTCACAAAAGTAGAACATTTTAGGATATGGATGCCTAATATGGATGAAGGCATCCAGCTGTTGCTGTAGTAGAATGAAAATAAGATCTGAATAAAAATAAAAAGGCTTTAACTGATCATTTACACAACTGCGACAATAAATGTTTTATACAGTTGAATTATCAGCCCTCCTTTGAATTTCATTTTTTTTTAAAAATATTTCCCAAATGATGTTTAACAGAACAAGGAAATTTTCACAGTAGCCTATGTCTGATAATATTTTCCTTTTGAAGAAAGTCTTATTTGATTTATTTCAGCTAGAATAAAAGCAGTTTTACATTTAAAAAAAAAAATTTTAGGGTAAAAATTATCAGCCCCTTTAAGCTATATTTTTTTCGATGGTCTACAGAACAAACCATTGTTATACAATAACTTGCCTAATTACCCTAACCTGCCTTTAAAACCTTTAAATGTCACCTTAAGCTGTATAGAAGTGTCTTAAAAAATGTCTAGTCAAATATTATTTACTGTCATCATGGCAAAGATAAAATAAATCAGTTATTAGAGTTGAGTTATTAAAACTATTATGATTAGAAATGTGCTGAAAACAAATTTCTCTCCGTTAAACAGAATTTGGGAAAAAAAATAAACGGGGGCTAATAATTCAGACTTCAACTGTATGTGTTCTTCCAACCATTTTATGTATTTTCATAAGAATGTTGATTTATAATTTGATGCAAATTGACATAGCATGTTACAGTATGCATGAACTCACAGATGCATAAACTCACTGTGATTTAACTATTACAGAAACAGATGTGACTTGCTATATCATATAAATATATCATATCTAGAAAGCTAGTACAATTTACGTTTTTTTTGTACTTACTCGTATGTATTTACATTGATATGATGCCCATTTTACTGATTATAGTTATTTTAAATCACCAAAACTACACACATTTTATACTGGGGAAACAAGTTTCATCAGTAGTTAAAACTATTCAGTTTCGCGAAAGAGTTGTATTATTACCTCATTAGCTTCAGCTCCTCAAAATAATGAATGAATGAAGATTTTTTTTTAACACCATGTGACAACAGAGCCCCTCCCACCTGCCGGTAAAAACAGGTACTGCTAAACAGCTGACGATTTAATTACCTGACACAAACGCTGCGTTAAGTGGAATGTTCGTGATGTATGTGGTCATTTTCAGTACTTAGATAACAAAATAAATGTTATACAACATATTTTTATTCAAGTGCAACATATTCCAAGAGATCAGGGGCTTTTGACAATACATCAGGGACTTAAGCCCCCAAAGCCCCCCCCTCGCAACGCCACTGGTCATTACGTCACCAACCTATAAATGTTTCCTCCGCTGTTTGTGTCTGTGGTCCTTTAAGATAATCAAAAATTACTGTTTACGTGGTCAACTCTTGATCAGAGTATTGTCTTAATCATATTAAATCAGAGCATTGGTGTCCATGTAAACATGCTCACTGAAAGTGTCAGATGATGTCACAAGCTGTCAGAGATGGTCCATTCCTCACCTTTAAGTTGATTCCATGAGCACTCACATTTGAGAAGTTTGACTTCAACTTTTGCATCTGCTGCATGCTGGCGTGTCAGAATCTTTGCTTGTAAAATATAGCCATTCTGTAGAATGCTTAGTTTAAGCAAATTAGATGAACGCGATCATGCGTGTTGATGAAAGGAGTCGCTCACCGCATGTGCCGTACTGCGCGATTTGCCTTCTACAAGCAACAAGAACAAACATCTGACATAGCGGACATACGTATGCTTCAAAGCTGTTTAGAATCAAACATTTAGAGATGGTGTGACACAACGCGTAATTATGTGTGCCTTTGATGCACCCCTCGATGCTTCTTAAGGGCGTCACACATCGGATGCGTCGCTCAGAGCCGCAGCACGGCGAGCACATGACAGTTGAAAGTATCGCACACCAGACGTGCACATTGGCATGTTATTTAAAATGAAACTATTTAGATGGCGCTCTGTCGCGTGGCAGAAATGTGAACAGTCATGAGTTGCTGGATGCCGTGGACAGCCGCTAACTTGCGAATTCTAAAATTCACGACGCTGCGTGGCGCGACACCGAGCGGAGCTTCTGGTGTGAGACCTGCTTTGCGTTCTTGCTGCAGCACCAGTGGCACCGAAATTCATATGCTGATTCGGTGAATTTGATGCATACCGGTTCCAAAGGTACCAGTGCTATAATCGCACCATGTTTTGGTAGACAACTCTAATTACAACACACTTGTATGGTTAAGATGAATAATTATTGTATTTTAACACTGTATATTTTAATATAACAACATCATTTTCAAATATATTAAAAATATTAGTAAAAATATATTTCAGAAAAAAGAAAATTCCTTTAGCTGCAATATAAATATATATATATATATATATATATATATATATATATATATATATATATATATATATATATATATATATATATACATTTTAAGAATCACACTGAGCAGCTCTCTGAGGACATATAAAAGTAATAATTTTCTTAATGAACTCCAGAGACTGTCAACATGTCATCAATAACACCTTCATAATAATCAGTCTTTGAGGAATCTAAATTTATATTAAGATTGCAGTATAACAATCTAATATTTGAGGCTCAATGTTTCAGTCAGAAGAATCAAATAGGAGCCTCAAGTATCTTTTCACTTTTACACTGTTAATTCTGTTCTGGAGTTCAGCAGATGAAGAAATGAGAAACATTCTCCAAATATAGACGCATGATATTATACATGACAGCATTATTATTATGATGCTGCTGTGAGCCGGCCCTGGATAAACAGTTGAAACATTGTATGATTGTATTTTACAACAAACTAAAACAGTATTTCACTACAAACTAGAATAAGGACTCCAGTAAAACACTGACTGTGTGTGAGTAGAGATGTTGTAGGGACTCTTACTGTAGTGGACGATGTCCTGCATCTTCTTCCAGACTCTGAACGGCAGGTTCCCCAAGTAGCGACACACATGAATCAAAGCTCCAGAAGGCGTCTGTGGATCCGGCTGTGAGATCTGGACTCTGGAAGAACATTCAGGAGTCAGAACTGCAGGATTCAGAAGCAGAGAGAGCAGAGACACCAGCAGATCACTCACCTTTCCATCGAGACTGGAAACTCCTGCAGAACAAACACACAACTGATCATCAAGAGCTCAATCCATCATCAATCAATCAATCACTGATCTGAAATCAGACCTTTAGAAAGCAGACGTCATTGGCTTTCAGCATCTCCTCCGTGTCTTTGATCGTGTGTGAAAGAGCTGAGATGTGTGTGTTCATCTCCTCCAGCTTCTCCTTCATCATCTGCTTCTTCTGCTCCTCTTCCTCCCTCAGTGCAGTGATTGCAGCTTCTTCTTCATCTCGGAGAAACTGATGAAGCTTCTCAAACTCATGTTTAATCTGACGCTCTGTGTGATCAGCTTGAAACTGAAAGTAAATCACAGACACATTTAATAATCTGAGTCAAAACACAACAACATCACTTCTTAAATATCCACAATAAACTCAGATATATAAAAGACCCAGAAGCCAAATGATGTTTATCATTAGCAAAGTCATTACCAGAATTGAATTAAACTAATTATAAGAAATCATATTTGTGTCTCCTGCTGCTGAATGAAAGTGACTCTTGATTCTGTTTCTTACCTTGATGTGTTGAACTGTTTTCTCAAACTCTGCTTTCTTTTCTTCATTGTGTTTCAGTTTCTCCTGTAAATATTTCAGTGCTGTATTGAGCTCCTCCTGAAATTGAACAATTAAATAAAAATATATAAAAACACAAAAATCACTGTGAAGAGAAACAATTACTGTGACATGATGTGATTTATTCGAGCATCACTTAATTAAACAATACAATTATTCAATTCTTTCTAGGCATGTCATTTCAAATTCTCCAAATCTGCATCTGTAATGTTGTACAATAGTGAGAATTGTATTTTAAAATATAATGCAAACAAAACA